CTAATATCTTCCCTCACTCAGGCCCTGCTACCAGCCTGCTTATTTGTCCCCTTCAACTGAGTGTTGAGAGCCACTATAGCTGGCACAGAACAGCAGTCATGAGTGAAAGAAGAAAACGCCCCTCTGGGCCAGCATTCAGAAAAAGCAAAGGAAGCTTTTCTATCTAAGCAGGAAGGAGCTCTCCTGAGATACACAGACACAGATGTTCACGATGAGCCTTCCGGCCCCAGTGAGGATGTGAGTGGTGAGGAGATGCCTGATCTTCCAGTTAGTCAGAGTGCAGGTGACCTGGCAGCTACTGCAGCATCCATATCTCCATCTCAAATGGATGTGACCATGCACATTCCTGAAGAAAAGTGTAGATCAGAGAAGAGTGTGGTGGAGGTGCAAGAAACAGCTGCTACTGAGTTTAGTTCCTTAAGTCTAGATGACCCAGGACACTGGACCCACTTGAGCAGTAGCCTGAGGGACTTCCTTGTACTGCATGGGCCACAGCAAGTGAAAAACTTCATGTTCCCCAAAGACAAGGAAAATATAAGTTTCCATCCAACACATTTCTGGCGTGAAATCCCCAATGGTGACAAAGTGGAGAGGCCATGGCTTATGTACTCAAAAACCCAGAATGCTGCATAATGTTTTTATTGCAAACTCTTCCAGTCTAATGTTCCAGCCACATTAGGTTTGACAGGAACAAAGGACTGGAAAAATCTGGCATGCCATGAGAAGGCAGCAAATCACCAGAGAGCATTCCATGGGTGGAAAGAGCTTGAGATGAGACTAAGGTTAAAGACCACCATAGATGATCAGCATCAAGAGAAGATTGCATCAGAGTCTCTTTACTGGCAAAATGTTCCAAAAAGGCTCATTGCCATTGTGAGACTGCTTGCTACCCAAAATCTAGCACTGCGTGGCACTTCAGATCAGCTGTATGTGCCAAACAATGGAAACTTCCTTAAAATTGTGGAGCTGATGGCTGAGTTTGATGCTGGACTCCAGGAGCACCTAAGAAGAGTCACCACCCAAGAAATGTACACACACCACTACCTTGGGAAAAATTCAAAATGAGATCATACAGTTACTGGCAACAAAAGTCAAACAGAAGATTGTGGCAGATCTGAAGTCAAAAAGATATTACTCTGTTATTCTGGACTGCACACCTGACATCAGCCATACGGAACAAATGACTTTAATGGTGCATTTTGTAACAACACCAGAACCTAGTGAAAATGTCCCTGCAATGGTGACTGTCAGAGAGCATTTTCTAAAATTTATTGACATTGATGATACTACAGGAGCTGATATGACAAATGTGCTTCTTAAAAAGCTGGAAGATACGGGAATTGCGATAGCTGACATGAGAGGTCAGGGCTACGATAATGGTGCCAACACGAGAGGAAAGAATAGAGGAGTGCAGACACGGATCCGAAAGTTAAACCCTCGAGCTTTTATTGTCCCATGCAGTTCTCATTCATTGAACTTGGTGGTCAGTGATGCAGCGTCAGCTTCTAGTGAGGCTGCTGAATTTTTTAATGTAATTCAAAGCATCTATGTATATTTCTCTGCATCAACTCATCGATGTCAAATTTTGAAGCAACATCTGGGAACATCCTCTCTGACACTGAAACCACTGAGTGCCACATGATGGGAAAGTCGAGTGGAGGCGATAAAGCCTATCAAACACCAAATTGGGACGATAGATGCCATAATTGCCATTATGATGGATAATTCTATGAGAGGAACTGTTCATGGGAGAACAGGGGCAGAGGGAAATGGAATCACCAGAAACATACATAACTTCAAATTTCTGTGTGGCTTAGTGTTGTAGCATGACATACTGTTTGAAATAAATGTTGTAAGCAAGAGACTCCAAGGTGTTGACCTTGATATATCTGGAGCAATGGAACAACTGGACAAAGTAAAGTCATACCAGTAAAGTCAGATGAGGGATTTCAAAATGTTCTGAAGAGTGCACAGAATTTGGCAGAAGAACTTCACACTGAAACCATTTTCCCACCCATTCTAGAATACAAGAGTCACCGAAGAAGATGACGACGACATTTTGATTACGAGGCACGGGATAATCCCATAAGAGACTCCAAACAACAATTCAAAGTTGAATTCTTTAACCAGGTGCTAGATTGTGCAATGCAGTCAGTTGAAGAACGTTTCATGCAGCTCAAGGAACACAGCAATATATTTGGGATTTTGTATGATATTCCAAAACTCCTCACTATACCTGAAGATGACCTACACCAGCAATGCAGGGCACTAGAGACAGTGCTGACACATGATGGCATGTGCGATATTGATGCGAGTGATTTAGGTGATGAACTGAAAGTCCTTTCAAGATACATTTCACCAGGATCAACTCCAAAGGCTGTTCTGGAATATATGTGCACAAATAAGATGACCACCCTCTTTCCAAACGCTTTTGTTGCACTGCACATACTTCTAACACTTCCTGTAACAGTTGCCAGTGAAGAACATAGCTTCTCCAAGCTGAAGTCAATAAAAACACATCTACACTCCACAATGACACAGGAGAGGCTGGTCGGCCGTGCAGCCATCTCAATAGAGCATGAGCTGACCCAGACTGTGGACCTTCAGCAGGAAGCACTTCAAATCTTTGCAACCAAGAAGGCACGGAAAGCACCACTATGATGATTCAAACTGATAAACATGCCAGTGTTTACTATGCAGACAAGAAAAGTTGCATTTGCTGGTCAGGCGTTTCAAAGTTAAGTGTTACTTAAAATTTTTGATCAAGGTATTTTAAGTTGTTAGTTCTCCTTTATTGGGGTAGGTAGGAGAGCAGTACCATGAGAGGAGGAGAACAGGAAGAAGGCAGAATTGAGACCTTTCAAAGTTTTGGCCCAAGCAAGGGAGCATGGGGGCATCATTTGAGCTCCCTGCCTCAGGTGCCAAAATGTTGTGGGCCGGCCCTGAGCTAGCTGTACAAGTCTCTCAGCTCTATCTTGGCATAGAATTCCTCAACTCCTCTTGGCAATTTGGGGATTGTGCTACTCAACCAACATATTGTGAAGTGTAAAGTTTCTCAGGTGTTTGAATTAATCTGTTAATTTTCCTGCTTTTGGATCAGTAAATATTTAAATAGTATAAGCCAGCTTTTAAATGGAATGCTACTACCTCTGTTTTCTATTGTAACCAGACTCAAACTATACTTCCTACTACAAACCCAGCATTAAAATCTAGGGTGTCTGCGCTCCACAGTATCTTTGTCTGGATGAAGAACTCTAAATTCATAAGAATCAAGAAAAATAGATTTTGACCCAAAACTTTCAGGCTAAGGGACTCATCCAAAATTGATAAAGGACAATGGGAATCTTTTCACCCACTTTAATGGACTTTGCTATATGATCTTATGGCTTGTTCCAATTTATTGTAAGGGTAATAAACTTGCTTTAAAAAACAACTTTATAGTCACCCCTGGCCCTTTAAAATTCCTCCTGCCTGGAAGAAAGGCAGTATTTTTACAGGCATTCTGTCTTATCCAGTGGAATTTACTTGCAAGAATATAGAGGTGTTTTAAAGGACTTAGACTGTTTCAAACAGGAGTGTCAATAATGACTTCTACCACTATTGATTTCTTTTTAACAAGATTTTGATTAAAAATGTTATAAATAGGATGCAGAATTGTTACCACCTATGTTATTAAGCATGGGATTTAATTACTAATACATTCTCCCATTCTGATAAGAATATTTGTGATAAAGACAAATATAGTGGAAAATATATTTAACGAGCTATAGCAAAATTTCTCTTTGGTCCTCTTCAGTTCTCTGTCCTCTCTTTTCCCTTGATATGATAGTTGATTCTCTATGCTCTGAACTCTCCTCCCCCTTGACTCCTTTACCCTTCTCTCCCATTGCAATGTCTTCACCCTGACAATCCCCAACCCAGCTCACTCCCAACATCTGCTTCCTCTGGTCCTGCTCTCACGCTGTGCAGCATCTCTGGGGGAAATCTCATGACCAGGCTGACTTCCTCCATTACAAATGTGTTCTCTTCTCTTTCAGTTCTACCATCTTCCTAACAAGCAATTCTACTTCTTCACCTAACTCAATCTCATATTCACAATACCAACTGCCTTTAGGCCAGATTTTACTCCTTCCTCACACCCTCCTCCCACACCCACACGCACACCCCTCCACTTCCCTCTGCAAAAGTTGGACTGATTTCTTCAAAGGAAAAAAAATTACAAACTTATGTGACCACCACCACCCTGCCCATCTTCCTTTCTCCTCCTCCAACTTCCTTCTTCCCAGTCATAGATGCAGAAGTTTTTCCATCTTCTCTCCTCTTCTATCCCTGCCACTTTCCCTAGTAACCCCATCCCATCTCCCTCGTGTCCCCGCTCCTTAGCCTCTCACTCTAAGCATTCTTTAGTCTCTCATCTTAACCGCCCCTCCCTGACCCAACTTGCCTCTTCCACTAAGGCCCCATCTGCCTTCTCCCTCTCATTTCAAAGTTCATTGAACACACTGTCTACAATTGTTGTCTGGAGTTCCATTTCTCCAATTCCATCCTACCTAGACCCATCTCCAATACAGCTTCTGCTCCTCACACTCCACTGAAACCACTCTTGCCAAAATCTCTAATTACCTCTTCCTGGCCAAATCTTTTAACTAGTACACTCTATCCTTCATCCCTGTCCTCCATCATAAACACAAACTATTTGTTTGCACTTTCACCTATCCCATCCAGCCTAATCTCTCTCTTATGCAACCAAGATGTTGGCTCCTGCATCTGCCCTGCCATTAACGCCTGACATCATCATCACCCCCTTGTTACAAACACCTTCATATTTTCTTCAACATTTCCCCTTATGCTTGGGAGGAACTGCTCATAAATATCTGCAAAACCACCTCATTGTCCTCTGTCAAGTCCCTCCATAAATCTCTCCTCTGTCATGATGTCTACAAAACACTTGACAATGGCTAGGCTGCTTGACTTTAGTGACCCGTTTAGCCACCAAAACATTAGAGAGTACGACCCTGGCACTTCAGAGCATAAACCACATCCATAGCGGTTACAGTCTTTCGCTTGGCACGTTCAGTGTAAGTGACAGCATCGCAGATCATGTTCTCTAAGAACACCTTCAGCACTCCACAGGTCTCTTCGTAGATCAACCCCGAAATATGCTTCACCCCCCCGTGTTGAGCCAAGTGACTAATAGCTGGCTTGCTAATACCTTTGATGTTATCCCTAAGTACTTTACAGTGGTGCTTGGCACCTCCCTTCCCCAAGCCTTTACCATCCTTACCACGACCAGATATGGTGAAATCACACACACACACACACACACAACTGAGCTGAGACCATTGCCTCACATGCTGACCAGCATTGTTACATTGTTTCCTTGTGCTCCTTTGTCCGTTTATCTGCATCCAACTGTTGTCTCCTGTCTTATAGTTAAATTGTAAGCTCTTTGGGTAAAGATTGTCTTTTGTATATGTTTGCACAGTGACTAGCACAATGGGGCCACAATCCCTGACTGGGGCTCCTAGCTGCTACCTCGATATAAATAATAAATAAGACAAATGTTATTAATAATCTGTTATTGGTGGCGGGCCCCTTTCTTCATCTCAGATGGGAACTACTCCTTGGTGAATGACTCTTTGTATTGCTACTATCCTGTCATACCTTCCATCACTTAGTCCCAGCCCAGATATAAACCTTCAAATGAAACCCACCTGCACTTGTTCATCAACACTGCAATTCTAAATGAGCACAAGACCAGCTGTCAAAGTGAATGAGCCTGAACACAGGCTTGTTCTTGGCAGCACCATAACAGTTCAGCGGATAGGTTGCAGTTTGCTGAAGACATCTGCCCTAACTAACAAAGATGCGTCTTCCACATTTCTGGTACTTCTGCCAGTCCCAGGCCAGGCGGCTCCTTTCCCTCCCTGGCTGCAAAGTGTCCTCTGAGCTGGCAGGTGTTAGTGCTGGGCCCAGGAGGAAAGCGCTTGGCAGCGGGTCAGCACAGAGGGAGCTGGGGACTCTGCAGCCAGAGCCACGCAGTGGAACACAGGCACTGGAGCATCTAGGAGCCCAGGGCAGACCTGGAGCCAGGCAACATCAGGACCCAGGTAACAGTGCCACCTGGACAGCAGAGCCTCCTGTGGGGAGCAGGAGCTGGGCACATGTAGAGGGGAGCTGGTAATGGTTTATGTATCATTGTGAGCCAAGGACTGTATGAGACTCTGGGAGGCTCAGGGGATGGGGTATCACAGTTCCTCCAGGAAATGAAAAAAAAATAGGAAGTGATTAAGGTGAATCACTTAGGTTGTAAACACCTCCAGAGACGCTTGCATGTACTGGTTCAACCTGGGTTTTCCAGAGACCAACAGATAAAGAAATAAAATGGCTGGGTTTAAACTGACCCAGGGCTTTCTTTCTGATCCAACAAACAGAGAGACCCTTCTGTCCTAGGGGGACCCCCAGACCTTGCAGAAGGGTTGGAAAGACTTTGCCCTACTAGGGCACCATAAGATTGATGGGTGACCTCTGGTAAGCTTTTAGCATGCATATGGGAATTTTTTTTTTAAACACGTTTTCTCTGTAATGCTTTTAATCTCAAGAATAAAATATGCTTACTTAAAAAGAGCTGTGTGGCAACTTGCAACAGCTGGCAATACACAGTTTATAGCCCTTGGAGAGAAAGTAACATACAGGTGTTGGCCGTTATCCACTGCAAGTCAGTCTACCTATTACAGTGGAAGGCAGGGAGTTGTGCTGCCTTAAAACCCTCCGTCAGAGGGGTGTGGGATGTGGTCCCTGCCCAGAGATAGGTGATGGCTAGAGTTCTGAGACCTGACTGGGCACTCCTGGAATCTACCACAGAGTGGGAAAATACACGTGCAACACATTTATTCATCAAGGACAGCAATATCTCATATGGGAGAAACGCAAAGGGGTTAAAACCCTCACAAAACTAAATCTAAAGGAAGGTAGCCCTGAAACCTAGGCGGATTCAGACTCAGACCATGACCCAAAATATAGAGAGGCAACTTGTTAAACATGGAAGAGAGAGGCAGATAAAAGACAGGAACAGAAAAGCCAAGAAATAAAATCATAAAGATGCAGAGTGAATCTGAAGAAGAGTGAGAGCAAAGGCATTTTTCAGCCATCTCCACCACCTGAGAAAAAAATACCAAGGAGAAAATCCCTTTCAATTTACACTTCCAAATGCTATTCGAGAAGAGAGGGTAGCTGTTATGAGGAAATGGTGTCAGTAAGTGGGCTCTTCAATTTTTAGTGAGCTCAGTCTGGCTTTTTTTAAAACTTTAAAAGACCCCCTGAAACCCACGGAAAAGGTATTACAGATTGGAATTGATGCATAAAGAGGAAGGGGAAGAAAGAATATGAATGTGTGTTGATAACAATGAAAAGGGGTGAAGAAGGGGTGGCACCATAGATGTGATTTAAGCCAGGATATATAAAGGAGGAAGGGGTCTGAAATATGGCTCTGAGCAACAGATCCCAACATTTGTTCTTTAAAGAAAATGGTGCCACAGCTCCACCCATGGTGGGGAGTCTTGATACCCCAGACGGAGTTCACCACACCAGTAGAATGGGCTAATCAGCTGGCTGTATCTGAGACTATAGGGAACCTCTACATTGTAGGGAAAGGTGGAAGGGGGGAATTTTATATCATTATGAATAGTATGGGGATTTTGGGGGGAGGGGAACTGGGAAAACAACAAAAACAAAACAAAGCCACTATATTATTTTTCTATTACTTTTAACCAATGTGTTGAGTGGGAACTGGAGAAACAAAAACAATGTTGCAGGAGCAGCAGGTTGGGCAGGAATTTTTTTTTTTTTAATGCCAATCTAAGTAAATATTATTCATCTTAGAGAATGTTCAAAAATCATGAGTCAGGCTCACCAAAAATCATGAGGTTAACTTTAAAATCATGAGATTGGGTGGTCTTTTTATTTGTCTTCTGCTTTTTGGGCCGTTAGGGTGTACTGCGGTCACATTCTGAAGCTTTCTCCACAGCCACGAGGGCTAGAAACTTACTTTTTTCTTTAAGAATGAAGGATGAAATCATCACATATCCACGTGACCCCAGGAGCTGGGGCTTTAAGAAAAATAATCATCATGGAACTCGTGACAAAATCATTAGAGTTGGCAATGCTGCCCAGGTCATGCCTCCCCCCAACACACTGCTACGTGACCTGGGGGGAAAACTGCAGAGAGGTGTTAGCCAGAGGCTCCAGCTGACAGGGGCAGAAGCACCAATGCAGAGACCTTTGGACATTCAGAGAATTTCCCATAGTTTTGACAGGTTTCTCCAACCCTCCCCCTCCTGCTCCCTGACAGTCTCTTTACCTCAGCTTTGCTCCACACCTGCCCCTCTTCCCCTATCACCCCCTCACTCTCTTCTCTCCTCCCCCACTAGCCCTCCCCCCCACCATATATAGCTGATCCTCTCTTAAGTAAACCCACCCCCTCAAAAATCCTGGAACTAACATGTTTCCTGCCATCACATAGTTCACTGGACTGGTATGTTAACCCCTCCCCCATCCTATGGTTATCTTGCCTATTTAGATTGTAAACTCTTTGGGACAGGGACTGTCAACTACTGTGTAGATATGTCTACACTATGGAGACTACACCAGTATAGTGAGGTCAGTGTAGCTATGCCAGCATAACCACATAGTACAGATGCAGCCTACATTGATAGAAGGGGTTTTTCCATCGGTGTAGGAACACCACCTCCACAAATGAAGTTAGCTACATCAACCTGAGGCCCTCTTTCATCAGCACAGCTGCATCTGCTCTAGGGGTTATGTTGGTCAGGGATCTGGAAAAAACCCACAGCTCTGACCAACATAACTCTGCCAACATAACCCCCAAAGTAGATGCAGCTGTATTGACTGAAGGGGGCTTTGGATTCATGTAGCTAACTTGATTTGAGGAGATGGCATTCCTTCAAGAGTGTGTGGGGGGGTTTCCCCACACCTACCATCATAGCTATGTTGACCTAACTTCTAAGTGTAGACCAAGTCTATATTTGTACAGCACCTAGAAGAGTGGAGACCCATTCTTGGCTGGCCCTTAGACACCACAACAGTAAACATTATTATTCATAATAATAATCATAGGCCAAGATGGTAAATGCTTGTTGATTAAAGGTGCAATTGGAAACAAAATACTAACTTTAGGAAGCATCTATCCCTCAGCAGCAGAGGTCAATTGCTCTTTTTCAAAAAAAATTCTCCCAACTCTTGGAAAAATTTGGAGAAGGGGATATTGTGACAGTGGGTGGGGTCATAGCTGTGCCCTGATCCTAAAGGTAGACAGATCAGACACCAAAACAGCTAGAGAAAATCAGGCAAGGAGCTAAAACTACTAGTAGGTACACATGATTTGTGTGACTCCTGAAGATGCCTCACTGCAAATGAGAGATTATTCCTTTTATTCAATTCCACAGCAAATACATACACAAATTGATATGCTATTAATTTCCAAATCAATGTTTCATAAACACTATTCTGGCTAAACAAGGATGTATGTGCTGGTCCAATTATGCGCCATCTGGCTTTTCATTAGAAACTGAGGGCACAACTAAAACAAACATATGGAGATTAAACGTTCCTCTCTTATGTACTCAGAAGAGAATCCATAACATTAGAGAAGAAATTACACTTCAGAAAAAATTATGTGAGCCAGGTTTAAAAGAGCACTCTCTGGAACTCAGGAGTAACTTATTAAGTGATTAATCCTAGGATATCAAGGTTAGAAAAGAAGAGACACCAGAACCTCTTGAGAGAAGTAGAAAGACTTAAAGCTACATCAGACAAATCAATCCCAGAGCGTATACAAGAGCCTAATTGAAGCTAGAGGTAAATTAAACCTGCTATAAACTGAAAAGGCAATCAGATTTACAAAACAACAACAGTATTCTGAAAAAAGCAACAAAAGTGATAGGCTACTTGCTAATGGACTAAAATATATACAAGATAATAAAAACCAGACCTCCAGTCTGGAAGAAACCAAATCATTAATCATCATCATTTGCAAGTCCAAAGGATATACGTGAGGCATTTACAAATTTCTACAGGAGGCTTTATGCCAGCACATCCCAAACAAATAAAAGATTATAGAATTAATGCAAAGCTCCCTAAAATAGATCCGATAGACCAGGAGCATTTACACCTGATGAAGTTACAGAGATCATTAAATCACTTAACACAGTAAATCTTTAAGCCTAGATGGGTTTCCCCCAGAGTTCAGAGCACAACTGGCAGAGATCTTTAATGAGAAGTGGAAAGAATAAGAGATCCTCAATACCTGGAGTGAGGCCCAAATAGTAGCAATATCAAACCTTGGAAGAGACCTATACAATTGTGATCTCTTTGTTAAATCAACACACTA